ACGAGTTTTCCCAGCTCGACCTGGCCTAAAACTGGAAAAGGCATGATCCGGCCCTGGACAGGTTATACTGAACTTTTGAATTATAGGAACCTTCATTGCCGCTGCTTCAGAATACTAGTAAGTTCATAACATTATGACGTGAGAACATAGAAGAGACCTAAGTACAGTCGGTGTGTTAGTAAGAAGCTTAATTAACACTGTTCTGCTTAGAGTGGCTGAGTGTGGTGCAACTACCGTACCGATATCCCGGAATCGGTATTCAGGCATTTAGCCATTAGGAATATTAAAGTAACGGTGCACTACTACAATTTTAAATACTGGTATGTATAAAAAAACAAATCTCCGAATTACTGACAACTGACGTTTTTCAAGTATTCAACTTACAGAAAAATGCCATTTAATCGTTAAACGACTGACCGTTTTTAACAGTAATGTTGTTAAAAAAAGCCAGCTGTTCAACGTTTAAATGGCATTTCACCGTTACTCTTTGAAGTTACGGTGAAATGCAATGTAAAATAAGTGATGACTGACCGTTTTTAACAGTAATACTGTTAAAAAAAACAGTCGTTCAATGTTTAAATGGCATTTATCCGTTACTCTTCAAAGTTACGGTGAAATACTAGTTGAAATATTTAATGTTTGGCCGTTTTTAACAGTGATACTGTTAAAAATCGCCAGTCCTAAAACGTTTAAATAGCATTTCACCGTAACTTCAATACCATTAATACCCGATTTTACTGAAAGCATCAGTTTGGGTTAATACAGTGACTAACTCTATTTGCTGTAGTCAGCGCCGATTTAACCATTGCAAAAGTGAGTGCAGTACAATGTAACAACAAGAGTCATTAAGACGTTTTTTGATAAATTCAAGTTCACTGATGTAAAGCAATAGGTCAGGGTGGTCCAGACCCAGACCCGTTGCTTCATTATCTATGTTCCGCGTCGCATTTCCGGCAGGGTAAACAAAAAAATCTCATTTGGTGTCGTTTCGTCATAAAAATAGCCAGAAAAATCTTTTGACATATTGCTACATCACTAATGTCACTGAATCGACTAATTTAATGGCTAGCTGAGACTAGCGTAGTTGAATAATGTGCTTGGCTAGTCTAAATTATTAACTGCTGTGTGTTTGTTTTGTTTTGCACTGTTTGCCTATTCTTGGCAATATTGTGGCCCGCGAATAATACAAAAATAATAGTGTGGCCCTCGAGGCCGATAACCTTGGACCACCCTGCAATAGGTATGTATTTGCAGCAGGGGGTGCAGTAATAACATTGAAAGATTAGCAAGTGATGGGAGGCAGAATAATTGGATTTAAGTACTGAAATTGATGTACCGGGTAAAAGTAAAGAACATGTGTTGCGGAAATGAAAAAAAAATGGGCAGGTCTAAACGCTGATATATCAGGCTCCAGGGTTTTTGGATGATATAAATAATTCGGATGGTTATATTCAGGTGCTGATAATACGAGGGGAATTACGGTATACGATTTGTTAATTTTTCGATATTTTCAACGGAAATTTATATCCAGTTATCCACGAAAACTATAGTCATAATTCCAGCAGGAACAAGTGGGCGGGACGAAACATTCCAGTGGGCAGGATCCGGCCCGCGGACCGTAAATTGCCCACCCCTGGCATAGGATGTCACCTAACCCTGTAGTGTAAAATATGAATAAAAACGTACTAATGCATCTCGTCGGAATGCAGACCGATCGCTCTTCAATAATAAATGTAAACAAGTGAGTGATAATCAAATATATCAAGACGAAAACGAATTAGTATTGGTATGCAATCTGTCACAGTATAGACCAGGGGGCCGCAACTACTTTTTAGCGCGACCCAAAATATATTTTTTTTAACTTCTTGCGACCCAAGCATTTGGTAAACATGTAATTAGGTATTGATTTTAAGACTATTGTCGACGCTAGCATTTTTCTTCCACAAAATTATATGGAACTTAGCACAAAAAATTGTGAATAATAGCGAATAATAGCTTAAGATCTTCGAACAATAAATAACGATATCATATCAGTCCGACAAGCTACATCCCCATTAGACATCGGCTACAGTCAGATAGCTGAGGACTACACGACGCGCCACAATATCGCGTGGAGAGAATACCATAACGCATCGCTCAAGCGTAATGTGTAACCGTAAATATATACTACTACGGTAACCACTGTGAAGCTAGTAGCAAACCTTCTTCGAATTGTGCGCAGCGGTGCGTTAAGTCTCGTTTTTGTGCTCATTGAAGAGTGATATTACAGTTTTGTGCTTTTTGAAGGGTGATGGAGTAAAACGTAGGCGATTTCTAAATTCCACACGTCATAATTGCTCTCGATTATAGAATTGCTCTCGATTATAGATATGGAAGAAACATCAAGACCAACCATCCGAGACCAACAATCGCCGTGAAAACGCACAATTGACGATTTTCACAGCGCTAATGTTGTTATTAAAATAGCCGATTATTTTCGGCAGCGTGACGTGTTATTCAGCTGTAATGACAAATAGCGGAAGACAAATGTCTTGTTTCATGAAGAAAGATTAAAATTACATATTGTTTATTTAATTTTGTCAATTGTGCGAGCGAGGCACTTTTTATTCATTGTAAAAATACCGGCGGGAAACTAGCGTAAGCAGAGTGTTGTACTGCGACGTGTAACTTGACACTGTAAAGGCCGGTATACACGACAGTGTGCGAACTCACCGCAGCGTATTTTTTTTTGGTTTGTTTTATTTTATTTGTCTGCGGTGGACTGCGTTTCGTTGCGCTGCGTTTGTCTGAGTTGGCGAACGCTTGAGTAGCGTTTTCTGACCGCAGTTCACCGTACTGACAGTCTTGCTCTGTCCGTTCTGGTGGTTTTCTGAGACAACTGGTTGTATTTCATGTGACAAGCGAAAGTTTTTTGCTATTTTTATCGTTTTCGAGTTGCTTTTATAACGGTAGAAGTTCAGTTCCAATAGGGCTACCTGTTACCGTGCGGTTTGTAATATCACCAGTACCGGAACCGGTATGGTACCGGTACCAGTACATTGGTACGGTAACGGTACCGTATGATATGCGGGGTACTTCGTGTTGGCAAGTGTGTTCTTATCGTTAACGGTTATTCCAAACCGTTCAGCTTTCACCAATTCGATTTTTTTTTTACCAGATTTTAACTGAACATTGAATATTAAATTATGGTTCCATAGGGTACGGTACCGGTACGCACGGAAGATAGGTCTGACGTCACGATTAGCGCATACCGCACAGTGTGCAGAGTCCCGGTGCGGTGAGTTATATTGCTGTCGTGTATACGGGCCTTAACTCTGAGCGAGTCTTGCCGATTTTCATCAGTGAGGCTTTTTCCGTGTTTGTTCCTGGTGGAGTGAGTCGCGGCGGTGTGGCCCATCGTGCTAAGCGTTAGGTTCGCAGGTTAGTTATGCGTGAGAGGTATGCTAGACTTCTCGCCGCCGTTGGGTGGTTCACGTTACCGCTGGTCGATTACGGCTTCCTTCGCCATCAAGTCCATGCTTCTGAAAACTAATAACTAACTAATCCTATACATGACATGAAATGGTAAACCGACGAGAGGTCGTTGTGCGCCATATGGTTAAGCCGTCTTATCGACTATCTTCTCCCGAGATAAATAGGTAAATCCTATCCTGAGTTTATGTCAAAAATGTTGATTCACAAAGATAGGTTGAACCAAACAATGGTCTCGTAAAATAGAATTGCTGTATGATTTGAATTGCCAACTTTTTCTGTCTGTACTGCGCTGACCAGTGAGTGGATAGTTAGCGCGGTAGATTGCGCGACAAGATGTGAAATATCTCTTCGCTTTGCCGTCGCTACAATCGCCCCACAAATGAGACGTAAAAATATATCCACCTCCCATCCATCGTGAAAATGATGGGATTTTCATCGTTTTTCTGCCATTTTACTTTGGGATCAATTTTTAGACTATTCAAAATGTTAAGAAGTTCTACAAATATGTTATTATATGAACATGTCTTCAAATTACTTAAGTTATATAATGTCATTATATTAACAACAATATTCCTCATTAAAACATAGGTCTAACATAGTAGTACCGTACCGGTATACATCCGGTGTTGTTTGCGAACATAAATTACTGTAATAGGTAAATATAATTGAGTGTAACTCTATATAGCAATACATATTCTCTAATATCTTATGTAGTTGAAGCACAATATGACTATCCCATATTTGTGCCTGTGAAATTAGGTTTTTATTTGGACTTCACTACTGTACAGCTGTACTAAGTGAATAGGATTCACATATTTATCCTGGAGGAAAGGAAAGGCGATAAGGCGGCTTAACCATGTGGCGAACCACGGCCTCTCGTCCGTTACCATTCCATGTTGGGTACAGGATGAGTTAGTTATTTGTTTTTCGGAAGCATGGACTTGATGGTCAGATAGTGGACCAAGACATAACCGACCAGCGATTACGTGAACCACCCTATGGCGGCGAGGAGTCCAGCAATTTTCTCGCACATAATCAACCCCGCATGGGATTCGAACCTGCGAACTCACGCAGAGTAATCAGAGGTGCGGTGGCGAGCGTATTCCTAACTCTTAGCACGATGAGCCATAACCACCGCGAATGATATTCCAATGTCCGCATACATATAATAAATCTTAGGATAGGATTTACATATTTATCCCGGGGGAGAGGAAAGGCGATAAGACGGCTTATCCATATGGCAGTATGGCGAACCGCGGCCTCTCGTCCGGTTACCATTCCAAGTCAGGGAAGCGAATAGTTATATTGTTTGTTTTCGGAGGCATGGACTTGGTGGTGGAGGAAGCCGTAACCGACCAGCGGTTACGTGAACCACCCAACGACGGCAAGGAGTCCAGCAATACTCTCGCACATAACCATCCCTGCATGGGATTCGAACCTGCGAACCCACGCAGAGTAATTAGAGGTACGGTGGTGAGTGTATTCCTAACGCTTGAGTGACAGGTTGAGGCAGTACCGGTAAGGTTTAAACATTTGTTTTAATGAATAAACTATGTAGCCTAAGTAAAAATGTTACACGTGAATATGTTGCTTTCTTAGCGTAATATGTTGTAAATGAAATAAATCTGACCTAAATTTGTGATGTCTGCAGACTTCTAAAGTTTGAAGACAAAAATGGGTACAGACCAATATTTCCAGCAGAAATCTGGAAACTGCAACAAAAATAAATTTGAAAATTTGCACCATGGTTGGAAATATCTTCCTACAGAACCACTTATTCAAATTTTTAAATTATTGGGCTACAAAGATCTTGGATGCTGCTCGCTAGCTTGTAAAAGATGGTTTGAGATCGGAAATTTAAATTTTCTGTGGCAAAGAAGATTTCGCCTTGACTTCAAGATAGGTGAAATGGATTTAAGACCTAATGGAATGTCGTGGAAATCAGAATATCAGAGAATGGTAGATCTTGTTCCTAGTGTAGAATTCGAAAGAATTCTTGAGCATGATGATGAAGTTTTACATGTAGCTTTTTCAAATAATGGTATGATGTTTTGTACATGTTCAAAAGATGCATCAGTCAAGGTGTTCAGTGCAGACTGGCCATTTGACACAATCTTCAATGAACATTTAGGGAGAAGTTCCCAATTTAGGTGGCTTTATACTCAATATTCACAATTTAGTAGCAGCGATACTCAACTTCTAGTTTCTGGAAGATGTGAAGGCTCTCAACAAGGAGGAGAAATAATTATATATAATATTTTTATTAAAGAGTTCACTCTACAGGCAAGGGTGAGAATAAAGCCATTTGATGTAATGGGAACTTGGCTTAATGAAACACATATCTTGTCTGCAAGAGCTCATTTGCTAGCAGCCCGTCGCCAATGTCTGTGTGAAGTCCTTCTTAACAAATCGAGTCAGGAAATAGAAAACCTAATGCATTCGACGGTAACGCGTGCATATATGTTTGCTTGTGAAAATGACAACACTGTGAGTTATCTTCAAGTGGCTGATATGAAAAAGGTTATATCACAAGTTTATAGGGCTGTATCTAATGATTGTTACCAAGGAAAAATACATGATATGCACATGAAAGCATTTGGCAAACATAAAGAATACATTAAGGAAGCAGAATCATCAATGAATGCCTGCAAAAATCAGGAAGCGTCCACTCCATTAGAAACTGTGTCTTCAATCACTGTGAGAATTTCTTTGGACAAAAACAACGTTCCATCAGAAAGTGATAAAATTGTTGACAGATGTGATGAAAATGTTCTATCTTGCAGTGCAAGAGTCACCAATGATATATATGAAGGAACATTTAGCAATTGTAAAAAGATAAAGCTTGATAGTAGTGTTGTCTCTCATGATCACACATCATTGAATACAGAGGAGGAATCGTCTGTTTTGCTTCCTTCTGTTAAGCGATGTATCACTGATTTTGAAAATGAAACAGACAGCAGCAATCTATTTTCTGAAACAGCAAGTCCTCAGCTGACAGATGATGAACTAGACAGAGATGATAGTGAATCAACAGAAGTGACAACCGGAGATGAAGCTTCGCAGCCTATTAATTCACCCTCACATTATAAACTACTTTTATGTTTTACTGGAAACGACTTCAATGTTCCTCATCAAATCGGAATCAAAAGAATTGAGCAAGAAGAGTGTACTGATGTCATTCGGCAAAAGTTTGAGTCTGATTCGATTAATCTACAAGGGAGACCTCAAGTCCGATCTGACAACTGGGACCATGTTATCGAAATGGGTGGTCAGTTGGTGGGTATGTCAATAACTCCTTGCGGAAGATACTTGTATGTGAATGTACGTAAATGGGATGAAGAAGTTCCACCTCGGCATTGGGCTCGGGATATTTCATCGAAAGTTACTATGGGTTTAATAGACCTGATTTCAATGGAGGAAATTGCTACATTTGAAGGACATGAAGCTTTCAGTGATGTATTTTTTCTTCATATTTCATGTAATGATTTGTATGTTTCTAGTGGATCAGAAAATCTCAAAGGTTACCTGTGGGATAGATATTACGGAGTTTTGCTCTCCACATTCAAACATGTGGATGTTGTTAATTGTGTTGCTTTGAACCCTCGTGATCCCAGCATGGCTGTGAGTGTAAGTGATGATAATTCAATCAAAATATGGCGATCAAAGTCATTTCATAGACTATTGAGCAGCGCAAGAGCAAAAGGTCGTATGAAGTCTGTGTCATGTTCCTGACAGAAATACATAGGTCTGAAGTGTAGGAATGCAGAATAGTATCATTCAATTCAATGACAAGGTTACCTTATATTATTTATAGTGCAGAGGTGGCCAACGTGATCGATCGCCGTATCTTGAGTGGTTCAATCCCGCATATTTGGTTAATTTACTGCAAAAATTTGCATCCAATGAATTTCAAACAGGGCTTGAATATTTCACTTTAAATGTAACTTAGGCATTAGTGAAACCGTAGGATGTTTTAAATTTATCTATCAATTCCGAGTGAACCAGAAGGTTTGAGCAATTATGCATCGTGCACTACCTCCATTTGTAACTTTACTTTTCAAATGATGTCTTGACTAGAAAACGCATGGCTCTCCCTACCATCAAATTTTTTTGATACAATTTTGTCGACGCAGACTACAATGAACCCCAACAGTAACCATACTCATGATGCTATAAGAAATCTGTTACTTATATTTTTTTACGGAACCCCGTATTTAAGCAAAATTTTTGCTGGTTTCATTTAGTTCCCTGAAACAAGTCATAATATTTATTTTAACATTTCTGTCAGTTTGTTATTTTAATTTTTACCGCACTTATCTTACTAATTTAATTGTTTGTGTTTTTAATGCGAGTCTCATTGGTCTGACTCTGTAGTAATACACAAACCAAACTGAATTTTATCCAATCCATAACTCCCGTTTGTTTCTGACGCATTTGGAGATTCTCGTCGACGATAGGCTACAAATTTAGTACTCGTCCATTTTTTTGTGTTACTGAATGTTACGAAGATTTCAGTCGATCTCAGTAGAAAACAGGTTGGCCACCCGCCCACCCCGTATAGTGCATAATTTCACCTTGACAAAACTCCCAACAGCTTTTATTCTTCTTTTATTATCCTCATTGTTTTCAAGAAGATTCTAAACATCAACTCTGACACTGAACAAATTTATATTAGAAAAGTTCTGTATTCTGAGTTTTCATTCCGAAAGTTAGTTTAACTTGTAAATAATTCCAAGATACTTTGTGCTTAAGGAGTCCATAATAGCTTTAATATATAATTTAAGTGAAATTGTTAGAATGGATTTATAATGATATTAATTTTTGAACATTCATCAGTCTCTCTCTCTCTATATATATAAGCCACCAAGTTAACCTAGATGTATCATGATCTATCTAATTTACTCTTTTCCATTGCCTCTCATTCTGCCTACTTCTCTGCATGATTTACCACACGAGTGTAAATGAAAATAAAATTTTCGATATATGTTCCAGATGGTATTCGAAGCAATTTGGGAAAATATGTTTTGGTTTTTCTCAAAAAAATAATCCATATAACACGAGATGATTGCACATCGCAGCTAGCGTTACAACGCCGGTCAACGCGTCCCTTCGCTTATTGCCAGTTCATTTACTTTGGGTAGCTATTGAACACGGACTGGACCTATGAATGGTTTTGTTATTATGTTGTTCTTGATTCGGTAGTTCCGAATGGCAACGGAACATTCATTGCAGCAGCTGATAACTCCGGATATTCTTTTGCAATTGAAATCCGAAATTCAGCTAAACTTCTTTTGCCATTATAGCAATTAAGCCCCAAATGTACCCCATTTCATGTTGAAATTATCAAAACAAAGTTAATTTTTCCCAAAATTCGAACAAAGACTTTCGTAAGAATCAAATTACACCAGTTTTAGGGACATAAGTTGCGTCCTGTCATTACCAAATAAAATTTATATTCTCAAGACCTTTAGGTACTGATTTAAATAATAATATGTAAGTTCCCATCCGTACGATTTTCACAATTACCCATATTGAGATAATAGGAGTTTCTGTTTATAACGTGAATCACGAGCTCACGTTTACGGTATTTAATTAGATGTATGCTCGACGTATAAATACGACTCGATATCTTTCGATATTTAGGATGTAAATGATTCTAATCTAGTCTAGATAAATGTTTTAAGATTTGTATTCTGTGTATTGTGAAAATTTGAGAATAAAATCAAACAGAGTTTTCTAAAGTTTCTTCATTAATGTGGGCATTGAATCTGAAGGGTGAACGGGCGACTGGCAGTTCCGCGACAGTCCACGAATTAGCAATATCCATTATATTTGGTAACGCCGACGAAGAACACGCCACTTTCTTTTTTGTAGTCAACATCGTGCAAAGGCATCAAGGCAATCAATAAAGGTATCTCAACAACCATCTGCAATCAACAATTTGGGAAATCAATTAACCACGCTGACAAAGTGACCGCGCAAAAGCAGCTCACAACAATCGACGAATCGTACAACAAAAAAGAGGATTGAGGTCAAGAAACAAATATTTTGCAAAGTAACACAATATATACAACGTTTCTGGAAGTGAAAAAAACGATGGCAAGCCAGAACAATCAAAAACATGGCGAAACTATGAACTAAATTGAAAACCGTTGAACTATGGTAACGGACTCTGGAAACGTTAAAATTACGAATATGGACTGTGTTGTCGAACAATCGAAATGAACTCTTTTAGAACGTGATATATGTTCGAGGTGAAAAATCTAATCAAAAAACGAACTGATGAAAACAATGAACTATATGGACTGTTTTAACCGAATACGGTAAATTACGCACTCTATTCCGAATAATAGAGAAATTTTCGCTCATACCTAAATGATTCTAAGCTAGTCCGGATAAATGTTTTAAGATTTGTATTCTGTGTATTGTGGAAATCTGAGAATAAAATCAAACAGAGTTTTCCAAAGTTTCTTCATGAATGTGGGCATTGAATCTGAAGGGTGAACGGGCGACTGGCAGTTCTGAGACGATCTATGAAATAGCAATATACGGTGACATCACATTCATTTACCAATTATATATGCTATAATACCATCTAATGCGATCTTCAACCCGCGATCACTTGACAAGTTATCCAATGCTTCAATCAAATCTGATGATAGATGTTGTATATTTGATACTGTGAAACGTGATAATATCCATTCGTGTTGTGGCGTTGTGTTGTGTTCTCAGAAAAATATGTATTAAACCACTGCAAAAGATGTTGCGAACAAAATTGTCTACGTCAGCGTTTCCCGACTTTTTCGGCCACGGAACACCTACACTTTTGATCTCGCCTCGCAGAACACCAAAAAATGAAACAGTAAATTGATAGAGAAAACCGGTGTGATGTAGCGGTTCCCAATGTAGCGGAGTTGCTGAATGCGCCGCGAAAACTAACATAATTGTGTTAAACATACTTAAAATATGATTGAATATTTTACATATTGCATTTATTATAACTGTTTTATTGTTTCTTAGTTTAAATGCTGTGTATATGAATAAATTCATTCATTTTACCATTCCTATGGCGTTTACTTTCCATTACGTAGTGTTTGCCTCTAATGTTACGTCTAATGGAAATAAAAGTACTTTCCGCAATTTCGCGGACCTGCCGTTTATTTATCTTCTGAATAGAGTTTACCGAAAATGATTAATTTTTTCAGCATTTCAAAGTAAAACCAGGCAGAGATGGAGGAAGAACAGTTGACCTTTCGCCTTTATTTTTTAAACCTACTTGTTTGCCTATAACAAAATCAAAAGCATTGTAATAACTTGATAATGAACTTAACAGTCAACAATCTAGGCCGACGGTTAACGAAAATGCCACTACTCCACCCTAGTTAGTTCACTTTAGGCCGACGAGGACGCGATATAGAACGGTCAGTTGGGCGACAACCTCACGATTTTTAGATCGCCATGGCGACCATTTTAGACGTATTTAAGATTCCTTTTCCAAGGAACACTTCGGAGACGCTCGCGGAACACTAGTGTTCCGCGGAACACAGTTTGGGAAAGGCTGGTCTACGTAGTAGGATAATGCCAATTAACAATGCAAACAACTACGTAATGAATGTTATTGTTACGTCAAATTTTGCACTTATGCTGATTGGCCAATGTTACGGCAGTAAATAAGGAAGTGTATACTCGGGGAAACATCCATAAATATAATCAGAGATTTATAAAGTTGTTATACATAAATACGCTACACTGATACGATTCTCATATTTATGGCAGATTTAATTTTTTTTTAGACCCACAGCGGAGGGCTTCGGAGGACCCCGTAGTTGCGGGCCCCTGGTCTAGAGAGTCAACTTTTTCAACGGATAATGATCTTTTTTGTGTGCAAATGTCTTGTTTTATTAATTTAATTATGTTCAATTTGACCTGCGCTTGCTTCGACAAATTAAAGCACTATTACTCTGCAATACTACGGGCAATCTGCAAACATAAAAAATGTGTGGTAAAGTGCCAGATTATATCGTGTTTTGCGATTTCGTGAACCCGACAAATCTGAGCTGTCCCTGCTCCACTCTATTTTAAAGATATATATTATCATTAGAAAAATCTCCTCATCTGCGATAAAATTCCGCGGAGTACAATCTATTTTAGTACAATGAAAAATTGATTGAATTTAGTTTATACTCATACATCAAGTCGTGTCATGCCCGTCGGTAATTTTATAATTGATCAAAAGGTACATTGCGTTCACAATTGACTGTTTCCATTTACAGTGACTGTATGGTTTCGAGAGTCAACTAATTAAAATGTGTGCAGGCACACGGAATTTTTCAGTTTACAATCTAGAAAAAAGTATTTGTAATCTGGCTCGAACCACCTAAATCAAGACTAACTTTTTTAAATTCACTCGTCGGCGATGTCTATAAAATAATTCCTCTTTGTCACTGGTGTCACATTTCCGTGCAAGAAAAAAGTGATTACCATCGTCCTCGAGGCACAAGGCATATATAGGATGAGGAAAATTGGAGATTTAGGGGGACCAAACATCGACTTGGAAGTGTTTACGAATTAAATAATTCGTCACGCTGACGAAACAATCTGCGATATTAGCGACTATTTCATTATTCCAAAAATTTCAAGGGCGGCAGAGGAGTCGACCCCAGAATGCTACCGTTGCGAATAAAATTTGTCCTACTCTTGTCGCATACTGCAGAAGTTGTTGTGGGATCGTTCGTTAGTCAAGGACACGACCAAGGTTCCCTCTAAGCTGCGCAACCGCGCAATTGCGCAGTACCACCAGAACATTTGCTCAGTAAAATCTCATTCTCGCGCAGTTGCAACATTTCGTTTTCAAATTATTTTTATCAACGCTCAACTAGAATGCTCGTTTTATGTTTCACGCGTATTCTGGTAAACACTAGTCATTGTGATCTCACACACCTGTCTGTCACGACAATGACATTAAACATTAATGTCATTGGTCACGAATACCTTGATTTTTGTATGCCAGCGCGAGTCGGTTTTTAAAATTTTCATCGCGCGCTCTGAATTTCGTGTTGTCGACCCGGCTAAATCTTGTTATTGTTCGTAGTGTAATCAAACAGATGAAGATATGGGAAGGTTTAGAAGGTATCAAATGTTGCAAAGCTGATGCCCATTGTTTGTTACAGGAAATTTGTTGGTTGCTCGTAGCCGTATGGTTAGGCTAAACCGTAAATATATGGCTAAACTAGTTGGAATTTGAAGAAGGGCTGAGTTTAAGCGAGTGCTAGCACTGTTGGCTCCTAAATATCTAGATTGGTACACACGTGGCCATGAGCTCATACTGAATGATACTGATGTTATATAGCGATGTTGTGAGTATGTTTCACCAGAAATTACTAAAAAAAAGTTTTAAGCGTTTTCATATTCAGCATATTAACCAAAACCAATAATATACTAGTTTTCTTTATCTGACGTTTGTGTGTGAAATGTCTATTCAGGGAAGTAAAGCTAAAAATAAGAAAATTCATTTTAAAATGGAATGGCTAAATACAACAGTGAAGTGTTCGACTTTAATTTGCAATCTTGATACCGGTATGCATAAACTAAAACAACTGCTAAACTTTGCGAAATTTATTGCTATTCCCCGTCAAGGAATGTGATAATCCACAAAGTTTGGCGGGAAGTGGCACCTGTTAGTGATTTGGAAAAAGAAAATCATGGGAGGGAATAAGAAGTTGATTATTTAAAACGCCATTTGAATAATATAAAAAGCACATTGACGCACTAGATGCATTAACGATTAAGCGAAACGTGGAAGCAAGAGGAGGTTGTTCGAACTTTTTCACCGCAATACCGACCGCTGAAGAAAGTGAAGTTTTGAAAACCCCATCAAGTGAAATGAAGCCTCACATAGAACGTGTTCCACCACGCTTTAAGCTGAATTCATCAATATTGTCCCGCAAATTAATAAATAGTCGCATGTCAATATACACTAAATTGCCACATTCATGGTGAAGCAAAAATTATGGCTTCAAATTTTTGATAAGCATAGACTTTGTCGCCAGGGAAAAAAATCATTCGGAGCATAAGACAAGCAAAATTTCATACTCTGATTTTGATGAAAGCAATGATATTTCAACAACAAAAATGTCGAGATTGTACATCAAGTATTGTACTTTGGATGATTGTCGCCTGATTCAGCAATAAACACAACAAACATGGACAAAGTGTATAAACGTTGGAAAAGAACGAAAACAAGAAGAAGCTATTTAAATTTAATGTGTGCTTTTTTCGCATTCCGATAATAAATAATAGGCTACTATTGTAACATTTCACAAAGTTTGAATAAATTAGGATTCTGCTCAGCGTTAAAATAGTCTTGCTTAGTAAAAACAATATTTGCGCAGTGTGAAATTTTCTTAGAGGGAACACTGGACACGACATTCGGCTAGTTCATTTCTAAACCTCGGTAGCGGCGAAACTTGCTCTTGTTACGTAATAATATGCTCCACTAGGCTTGCCCAGACTCGAATACTGTATGTGTAGGACATATTTGCGCATGTACAGTACTGTATTCTGTTTTAAAACACACAACGGAGGCTGCACGAAACTAGTTTAAAGTGATTTTTTTGGGCTAGGTCATTAAATTCACTTAACATCAGACGAGATCGACTACTCAAGACGTAGCGATCGACGTGTTGGCCATCCCTGCACTACACTAAGCCTGTCGATTGCAACAAAACACAACACACAACTAAAACATACAAAAAGTTCAATTATAATTTAAAACCTTGTTTTATGTGCTTGCAATAGTTTTTTTTTTGTCCTACTCGAAATATGCTGGATGGTTCATTCATTATTATTTAACGCTATTTAAGATCAAAATTCAGTAATAACTTTTATCTTATTTTAATTTAAAATTGGTCCTCACCAGAACGTTTGACGTTTAAATGTTGGTTTGACCTCCTTATTGTTCGCTAAATGCCCATAATCTTAATTACATTTAGTTACCCATCATTTTCGTAAATGCAATAAATTTTTGAATCCCATCTGAAATGAGCCTTACTGATATTTGTGGTTCTAATTTTTCCATCATTACTTCCACGGCTAAATACAAATTAAATGTTTATGCACTGTTACGTCATAATTGATTTGAGATTTCAAATTTATTTCTTGCCATTGTTGTAAACTGCTTGTCTGACTCTGGTCGGACGAAACGTTACGGAAATACATTTGTGTTAGTGTGCAGCTGCACTCTTTAATTGGATAGAATAGTCATGTTTATCCAGCTACAGCATCCTTGCAGTATACGCATCCGGATCCACTGGTATAAAGAAAAGATAGGAAGCTAGTCTCGCGCGACCCAAATCAAATTTATACAAAAACGAAATAGCAAATATTATATAGAAATGGCGTGTTTTACCACCTAATAGTTACAAATTTAAATGGGGGCTCCCGAAGTATGCGAACCAAGATGGCGGACATCGGAATGTAATATGTGTACTAGGTTAGGGTTAGGCCATAATTTTAGGTATAAATACTACGGGAGGCTCTTGGCTAGTCTTCGAACTGATAATAGGACTAAAATTGGAAAAAAATTATCGCCTAACCCTAACCTGTTACCCATGCTACGTTCCGATGTCCGCCATCTTGGTTCGCATACTTCGGGAGCACCTTTAAATATGAAGCGGGCGGGGTGTTTACCTTGGCGAGTCGTAAGATTCAGATCTTCGAATCAACACTGATTTCAGAAAAACGGCTTGTATCCGTTAAGAAAATAATTTAGATAACACGAGGCAGTTGCGCGACTCAGCAGCGTTTTCTCAAAATCAACCGAGAGGATATCTTCGTTTATTTCCCTCGCGTTAACAGTTTTCACCAAGTCGTAACACTCCTGGTGTTGTCATATTTCATATATATGGATCACAATCAGGGCGGGAGCGATTGCGAATTCTAACCAGCGTCCCAGTTTTAAAGCAACTCATGGTTTCAAATTAAGTTTATTTTTTTCAATCAATGAAGAGACTCAAATCATGCAAAAAATGATATTAACATTACTGGGGAAAAGAAGCCGCGGGGAACGAAAACTGGTTATCGAGCAGCGACATTCTAGGTTCTAACATCCAATTCAACATGTTGGGGAGGATATTCTCAAAGTTACTGATATTTATGGTAAATATCATACAGTGATTTTCAACTTTTTTTGTATTGCGGAACACTTTTTTCATCTTAAATTGTGGCGGAACGCCAAATTGCATTTTTGGAAATGAACTTTATTTCTGCAATTAACTGACATCGAACATTTTGACATGAAAATAAATAACGGAATTAATAAAAGCTCGTCAACTTCAGCTAAAAGGACGTGGCACATTTCAATTTAGAGCTACGAGAGTTAAATATGTTTTTGCGAATTTGCTTATGATTAGATTGAAACAGAAATGGCATATTAATGTGATATCGAGGCTTGTTTCGATGAGCCTCTTTATTTTATTCTGGCTGAAAGAGATACAAACACGCAGCTCCTCAACGGCTCTCAATTTCTCACGTATTTTAACTTTTATGGCAGCCATGCTCGAAAAGCTCAATTCGCAAAGATAGGTCGTGGAAAATGGTAGCAAGATTGAAAGCGCTTTTTTGGAAAGAACTGGAAATTCCTTGAAGGACTCAATCCAGAAAGTTTCTAGAAGCACGTCCGAGAATTCTATTCTCAACTCGCGGTCGTGCGGAATTTGATGAATTCTTCTTGCTCCTGCATAGTCATGAGTTTATCAGGAGCAATTGAGTAACTGTAAGGATCTCAGATCCAATCAAAGCTCTTCGTGGGGGTGAGAGAAAAATAAAAGCATAATTTCTCGTCGAGAGTTTTTAGGTGAGTTATTATAGTCTCGCATAGAGCAACCCTATTAACAGTTCCTTGGTTATTTTGGGTTAATGGAAACATGTCGTCAAGCTTGCCATATTTCACAAATTTTGCCAGAGCTGTATTTTTGAATGAAATATATTGCTTGTAAATATATTTTTATGTCGCCCGTGCATTTGTATGTTCAAATGTTGAAATATGACATCCATGTACGCTGATCTTGCACACCATTCATCATTTACCAGCAGCTCAACACCACCAAACTTTTCATCAGTCAAAAATACTTCCATTTCATTTCGTAATTCATAAACGCGAGCTAACACTTTTTCACGAGACAACCGTCTGACCTCGGTATGAAGCAACAAGGTGGAGTATTCTGCAGGCAACGTCTTTGCGACTAGGGCCTCTCGATGTAAAAAGCAGTGAGCAGCTATACCATCATGATTTTTTTCTTTAACTCTATTAACAAAGCATTTGTAGGTTTCCACCATGGCCGCTGATCCATCTGTACAAGTACTCTCACAGCTTTTTCATTCCAATCCGCCGTATTCGAGATAATTTAATGTAACTCAAAAAATTTCATCCTCGGCCGTTCCTGTAGGCAAAGTCTTACAAAAGAAGAAAGAAAATTCCATCAACAAATCGAACATTTGCCAGTAGTTGAGCATGTCCACTGATATCTGATGAATCGTCAATTTGTAGCGCAAATTCCTCGCTGGTGGGTAATTTATCTAACACTATTGCTTTGATGTCCGCACACATATTTTCAATCCGCCTGGCAACTGTGTTGTCTGAAGGGGGAATCTTTCCTATTTCTTTTCCCAGGATAGAACCATATGCATCTCATCAATAATAATCTTACAAGCTGGCAGGATTAACTCCTCTGCAACAGTTTGTTCAAATTCTCTTTTCAGTTCAGCTGCAGCAAAGTAGCTGGGTATTTGAGCTTTACCGTTGTTGTTTGTTTCATGAAATTTACTTGATCACGGTATCTTTCGCGCAACCGCATGACATATTCTTTTTTATAATCAAGTGAAGAATGTATATTTTTCTTTTTACTGAGTAATTTATTTGATTTCAAGTCTTGCTCTTTTCACTTCCGACCTTATCATGTCTCGGTGATTGTGTGTGTGTGTGCGTGCCTTTATTAGTTTTTTTACTTTTGGGTGAGCGAACACGTACTACTTCTTTTATCAATACCTTTCCATCTAAAACCTGTACGCTCTGAACCTTACTGGGTTTTGTTTGCTTTCCCGATTCTATAATCAGTTACTTTTATCATTTTATCTATTATTTTATCGTCTATTGCTGATTATGGAGTCGAAATAAACTTATACTTTCGAAATGACGTTTCCGTTCCGCTGGAACCAAAGCACTATTGTGCAACGCTTTCCCACCAGGCATAACGGGTTTGGAGCTCTGTCACTTGGCATCCTTGTGACAGTAAATCAAGAAGAAATGTAATTTTTGTGGTACTGTCTTATCAAAGCTCTTGCTTTTCTTTCTTCGCCATCTGCCTCTATATATTCTAATTCCGTGGTACCGTATATTTAAAGAATTTTTTGGGCTACCAACCACAAGTCTACATCTGTAGGACAAACATGCTCGATTAACAATAAACTAAATAAATGTACATCTTACTAACTAATCAATGAACCTATACCGACGGTAAAGCAAAAGTCGGAAACCTAAACATTCTAAGCTAAAACCTAATCTAAAACGGCGCTGCCAAATGCAAAGCGCAACCTGAAACAACGGGCTGACCTCGAGTCTGAGTCGGTCAAACACGGGCTCTGGTCACGTGACATCTATGCGACGTCATAATAGGTGTCAAATAAGATAAGTCTAAGATCGATAAGTCTTCGGTCTCTGACCGATATTCTCGTTTCATTATTCTTTATTAAAAATATAGGTCTACGATGGTTTCCCGTAATCATTGGTTTCTTTAAATCATAACGAAAACTACATTAAAGTACATTTGACTATTTTGAATGTGAAGAAGGTTAATGATGATATCATGGTATACTAAGTAAAATTCAATTCAGAAACATTCGAAAAAAAAAATCGAAACATCCCTATCCCCAACTCTCTAACGAAATAATAATACATTCCTGTTTCATTCATTTCATTATTCTATTGCCGGCCATGAGTACAATTTATTGAATGATACATAGTAAGATCGATTGCCACTGATATAGATGTACGCAAGAATATAGGTTTACAGTATTTTCCGTTGATCAGGTTGTTCTTGACACAGCTTTCAATTCTATGTCAGGCGACTGCACCAAAGTTTTAAAAACTGGTATCAATGGCGGTTTCTGTAAATACATTTATTATTAATATTCAATATGATCGAAACATGATAAGTGGAGACCACTTTGCAATCTGAACCTCATTGACAAAAAAATTATTTCACTCTACAAAACAGTAAATTGCATACACTACAACCATAGACCAGTGATTCCCAACCTTTTTTTCAAGCAGCCCAAATTTTCTAAAAATAAATTTATGAAATATCGCGACTCAAGGATATGCTCAAATACTGAATTGCAATTTGCATGTAGTACTCTTTTGGCCGCAAAATTTAATGACTATTATAAAATAAAGTGGGAAAGCAATTCTAGTTTGCCCTCGGAAAGGTTTTGAAATCATGGCTTGACATTACCTAAGCAAAACAAAATGAATGCTACAACGTTTTTGCGCTGTGATACTTCTCACTATTGAGCCACACCTGAATACCAAATGTAAAATTAACAAAATTTGAATACATACAAACAAAAAGTTTTTGCTGAAAAAACAAGCGACTCAAGAAAATCTGCAGGCGACCCAGATTTAGTGAGAAATTAACAGAATTACCCTATGATTTTTATTCAAGATGATTCGATAACCAATGATCTGAGAATAGAGAATGAACTACTTCTTGCCTAAAGTATGTTGAATATCATGTCTTTCTTACATGTGTCAGTGTTGAATGGGGTTCAAATCTGATGTGTTGCAGTAGCATGCATGTAGTCAACTTTATTTCCATTACTGCAAATCTCATGCCAATGCAATGCCTAGGACCAGCACCAAGAGGCTGATAATGCATGGGGTGGATGTTTGACATGTCATCAAATTTATATAAAACATAAAATAATACCAAGACATATATTTGGTCAAAACAGTAAAGATGATAAAATGAAACATTTCTACTTCGCCGAACTACATAGTGGGCCAAAAACATGTCACCATTCTTCAGATTCAGAATGTATTTATTTCCTGTCATTCGTTATTGCCTAGATATAGCTGCTGAACACGAGCCAACGGCACAATTCACAAAATTTACTATTGTTCACTAAATGCAGGCATCCAGATATACAGTATTATCGAAAACTAATACATATTTACATACCTTTCAGGGCGAAATTCACATGGTTTGTCCCATATATCTGGATCATGATGAATTTCATACAATGAAATATCGATGATAACATTTTTTGGAAAGAGAAAACCTTTAATTCTCATATCCTTCTGTCCACATCGTGCATTTCTGTTGAAAAAATACAACAACAATACCTCTAAAACACAGAACACGAACAAGAAAATAAAAGGGCAACGGAAAGATCGGCGAAATAGATGAAACCTAGAGAAAGGTTTGTAACAAGTGCTGTAACCAACATGCACACAAGTGACAAAAAACATCACAACAATCTTACTGAAAATCTTTTTCTTTCAAGATAGGTCATGCAGAGTATTTTTAAGTTACAATTTGTCAAAAAGAATATTGTTCTTGCATAACCTAAGTTACCACAAACAACCCAGTGTTTACTGGAACCTACACTTCTATGATTCATAACTAATTATTCAATATATTCCAACCTTCTCTTATATAAGAATACAGCCAGTAATAGGAGTCCAGAATAATCATAATAAAGCCTTACAAACAATCCTTGAATGTTAACATAGCAAAGCGAGAAAAAAAAATTTTTCTGCTACCTTAAGGTTGGTGCATACATTCTCAATGTTTCTTTAACACACATATCCGAAATTTTAATCTTATTGACATTCTGGTAATTTAGATCACCCTGTAGAAAGTATTAATGTCAGAAAACCAAAAGAGAAATAAATATTCATATATATGGATACGAAGGGTACAGGTACAACAAGGCCTGAAACCACAGATCTTTTTGAGATGATCGGCAGCCGAGAGCAATAAAAAAAAATGTTCCTTTTGATCAAAATATAGCAGCAAAATCACGTTCCATAGCAATTTTAACAAATGTAAATTGACAAAATAAATGATAGTAGTAGCTTTCATCCATATTCAAGTACTGAACATTAGAAATTGATTAGTCCAGTTCATGCAGATAAAAGAAATTCAATAACAACTATTTACCAAAAGATCAATATATAGCCTACTTTAGAGTGCCCAGCAAGACCAGTAAAAATCAAGAAAGAGGTCTAAAGAAACAAATTTTAACTATACCTACCTCTCTTGCAACCACTTCATCAATCTCTTTTATTATTTTCTCCTGAACCTGAGGATGGGTTGACAGATTATAAAGAAGAAAAGTGATTGTAGTTTCAGTTGTATCATTACCTGCTATCAGCATGAATATCGCATTTCCAATGATTTCATTACGAGTGAGACCTGAGAATGTTACACAAGCGAAAATATAAAATTTGATTTGTGCATAAGGATTTATTCGATTTCGATTTCATCCATACATATGGAGTGCTTATCAGTTATATGCTTCCTGAATTTTTATATAGCCCAATCTCTTTCAGCAAATACAGTTTTTCAAGTGTTCTTGGATATACAAAACATGATTTCAAAAATCATGAGTGTATCAGTGATAGAAATTATTGTTGTTTTTCATATTATTTTGTTAATGTGTAGTAAAACAATGAGCAAATTAAACTAATTAGATGTTGGTACATGCCTAATAGTAGCAGGCAGTATAAGTGATGAGGCACTAAAGCCTGAAGTTAGAGCCCAAGAGAATCTTACATTATGCTACATATAAATCTAGTTTATTTGCAATGAAATAAATGATGCTCCAATTAGAATCATTATTGCTATTTCCATGCATTTATACCATTGGACCAATAATCTACTGGACACTAAAACTCTTTAACGATTTATTGTGACTTTTGTTAACACCTTTCAAAGAATGAATTTATGTCCCGTCAACTTCAACATCCATCATAGCTTGCATTAGATCTAAATTTGGGTTGCTCTGAAGAAACAGAATAAATGGTTCATTGGTATGGTGCCATCTGCCAAAATACTGATATATAAAAAAGTGAAACAGGGTAACAATAATCTTTCAAGTTATTATTCAGCTAACTGACTGCTCTCACAGTTCAAGCATTTGACTACAGATGAAGTATAGAGCTGCACATAACAATGCTGCATGAAAACGATACTTTTTTTAATGAAGAAAGACCCCTATTGAATGACAAATTCGTGAAATATGCTCTTTCAAAGTTTAAACTAGTTGTCGCTTGTCTGAATGCTGGAGTATATAAAATGTTCAATCCAATTCACCTTTGACAATGATGATTCTCTCCTTTGACGTATGAAAGCATTAACAAATGCAGCATAGTAGTCCATCATGTCAGATGGAAAAACCGAAATGTTGAGGACTTCTGCATATTTCTCCAAGGAAACAGAACTGGAAAATAATTACATTCCCAATTATAACATTTTATTCACAAATTCCCAGTTTATAATTTATTATCTTAAAATTGGAAGTTAAGAAGGTGAATTACCACAAATTATGTCAGTATTCTTTTTCATCAACCTATTCTAATCAAATTGTGAATATTGATGGATGGTTTGGGTGCTATTATTCGAGGAGTTTACCATAAAATAAATACAGTAGCATGTGCATTATCTTGAGGAACTACATCTTACACAAAAAGATTATTATAATAAACCCATGCAGATTAAAATTATTGTAAAATTCTGTCTGAATTGTGGTGTAATAGAACAATTTTAGGCACCATCATTAGCCCATCAAATACAATAATACAAGTACATTTCTCTCAATAAAAACAAATCAAAAAGAAATTATATGAAAAATTTCCAAGCAAGGTCTACGAAAATGATATTTATCAGATAATATGTGAGGAAAGTTTGTAACATGGTTATTCTTTTCTTGCTTCAAATAAAGAAAATATCCATGTTGTTGAGCAAAACTCAGTTAATCTGTAATGTCCTACATAAGCACCAATAGAGAAATTACATCTTACTTTAGTTCCACTAGCAAAGAAGTACAATATTCTTAGGTCTTGAATTAAATTAGACATAAAGGAAAATATATTTTTCAAGTTGAGTGTGTGGAATCAGCAAGTACATTTTGGGTTTTAGCGAAGCCTCATTTGATGAATTTCAAATGCAGAAGGAATCTGCCGTGATAATATCCAAACTATCCTTATGAAATGTACATCAATCAAAATAAAATTTCCCATCATTACCATTGGCATGTCATGATGCAAGATAACACTAAAAACTTGTAGATGCAGTCAAAGTTTAACTTCAGTAGAAAATTACTAAGTCGGAGCCAAGCTTTCAGTACTTCAAATCTCACTATAATTATCTGTATAAACTTCAATACACATCATAACCCAGTACATATTGCCAACACACAAGATTTCTGCACAAATCTTTAATCACTTGGGACCTCAATTAGAATCATATTGTAAATATTAAAATATGGTAATTTCAGATTCCGGAATAAAAAATTATTGTGCATTGCAATAGTGCTTACAAATTAACAACAGCTCAGGAGATCTGAAGCTTATGTTTCGAAATTTTTTTTATATTGCAATGATTTTCGGTTCATCTTCAGATTCCTGTAAGTTTCAAATATAACATCTTCTGACAACAAATAGTTGGACACAGATAAATTGTATAATTGCATAGAAGCATATATTCATGCAGCAATTTATTACCAAAAAAGATCAAAAGATTTATATATTGTGTGACATGACTTTACTTAAATATTTTGAGACTCTCATTAAAATACATTGAAAAAACAGTGCTCTCTGATTTGTGATAAATATCAATTCATTTTGGCTTGCTCTCACTACAGGTAGATTGTGACAGCTCCTAAGATTCTAGGCAGATAATTCTAACCAATCAGCAAGGCCAATATGAACACTTTTTAGATAGACACTGTGAAAAATAATAACTGATGACATAGAAAAATTGCATTCAAAAATTACTTACAGTAGATGAAATTTTGAGATCAACACCAAAAGCAGCAGAACATATAACATCCAGAGTAAGATCCCCAATCACTCTATTAAAATAAAAGTTATTGATTGAATCAAATTTAAATAAACATTTTCCAACATCATAACACCATTATGATGGAACTGAGTTTTCAAATATGCCAACCAACAAAGCTGTTATAGTCACACATGAACTATACAAAATGCAACCATAGCATCTAAATTCCAGCAGTGAATTATAGGATAGCATTCTTGTATTTTTCCTACAGTGATGAGAGCAACAGACAGAGGGTGAAAGGAATTAGCACTTCAAAGAGATACGGTATGTGTCCCAAATTCTGTCGATGCAACCTGAACTGCTAAAAATATTACCTCAAGTTACCGGTACTCAAGATTCGAAGCATTGTTGAAAATCTTTTTCACATGTTTGTGTTAGTGCATAAATATTGTGCAAACGAAGAAAACTATTACAATTCAACAACTTGATAACACAAAAAATCAAATCACACAAAAATGCTCCATAGTTACCTCTTTGGGTAGACTAGAAGGCTGACGGACAACTCGACTACACGGACAACTCACCAGAGACAACTCGACTACCTGGAGACCTGGTGAGTTGTCCGTCTTTTCGCATTTTCTACGGTGGTGTTTTAGGTCTATAGAAATGCGTTTTTGATATTTTTAGTGCTCAAATGTTGAGAAAAATACATTAATATTCTCTAGAAAGCATTTTTATTTGTATAAGTGGCTTATTTTAATCATGTTGTATGAATACAAATACAGTCTACAGACGAAATTGGAGTAACGTTAGCGAAGTTAGACTGTTGACTTATAGGACTGTGTTCGTTTAATTTTATGAACTTTATTGGTATTAAATGTTTTGAATGAGCACATTTGAATATATTAACACCTTTATACTTCACAGTAACACTTAAATATTTATGAATGTGAGCTCAGTAGTCTGTGGTTGCAGTAGTCTAAACTCGCCTACGGCAGTCGCCCGTCAACTCACCAGTCGAGCAAACGCTCTGCGACGTGACGTCATCGATGCTCGAGGTAAAGACAACTCGACTACCGAGCAACGAGAGTCAGACAACTCACTAGTCGAGCAATCGCTCTGCGATATAGATGCTCGAGGTAAAGACAACTCGACTACCGAGCAACCTCACTAGTCGAGCAATCGCTCTGCGATATCGATGCTCGAGGAGAAGACATTGCTTTGCAAAACGCAGACTCAATAGTTGCATAGCATTTACTTAGTGCCGACTGATATTAGTTGTAAGCCAACTTACCACGGCAAGGTTTCAGTCATAGAGTTGGAAATTCTTTTTGCAGAAGAAAACCAGGAACAGATAGGCACTGTCGCTGCGCCTGGCAAAGAAACTGGGCCGAAGAATGGATAAAAGATGTTTACTTTTTGTTACGATTAATGAATTTATTATGATATTTAAATACTAAACGTTATGGGGAAATTTAATGGATGGAAGGTTTTGTTTTCTTTTTCGTTACGAATATTGAATTTTATTTGAATACTGAACGTTATGGGAAATTTGCTGCGTTACATACTTACTCTTTGCAATACTGCGGCCCGTAGATCCTTAAACACCTCCGAAGAAGAGAGTCCACAGATAACTCTCCTTCCTTAAACTGTTCCCAAACATGTTGCACCCTCTTGTTGGCTTCCGCATGCCTGCCGTTGACACGCCCCACAACATTCTCTTCTAAAATATCCACAACGTCCGCCTCTATCCCTATACTTACCTCGTACATTGTTGAGGTTAAACTGTAAAATGGCATATTTTTCCGAGTTATACTGTTAAAATGGCGGTGCCAACCTTCCAGATGATTGTTGGTTCTTATTTCTACGTCGAATACTGACCAATCCTTGGGAGTCCAGACACTGTTGTATAACCATGTGTTTTGAAAATATTCGGCGAAGTTCTTGAGATCTTGAGTATGCATCTTTTCTTTCAGTGATTTGAACCTGGGCGTGATAAACATAGTAGGTATATAGCACAGCGCCATGACATGCTTTATCAGGTCTCTTGTTCCAGCGTCCCTAAAACAAAATAAAACATGTTAAAACAAAAAAAAAACTGTGATGGAAACGACCTCGGCTAATGAGTATTTACGTTTGTAAGGTGTCAGGCCGGCGATAATGAGGCTGTAAACTCGGCGATAACCGAGCAGTAATCTCGGCGCGCGGCATCATCATCACCGATCTGGCACCTTATCTAATCTCATATCACCATTCTGGCACTGATATCCATGCACATTCCGGCGCAGGAAAATTGACTACGTCCACATCTTCAATGTAATTAACAACCTACTCACCCTTTCGTTTTCCGGTGCACGTGCGAAGAGATTCGTACTGAACTTCGAAGCCGCAACATGGCAAGCACTTTCTTCAGTATGGCCGGACGTCGAAAAGCAGGGATGCTCTTTCCACTTCACTCAGGCCATCATGAAGAATGTGCGCCACAATAATTTGGCTCGCCAATACAACAAGTGAGTGGTTAACCATATTTATATATGTCTTTGTACTTCTTACACTTCTTTTGTTTTAACATGTTTTATTTTGTTTTAGGGACGCTGGAACAAGAGACCTGATAAAGCATGTCATGGCGCTGTGCTATATACCTACTATGTTTATCACGCCCAGGTTCAAATCACTGAAAGAAAAGATGCATACTCAAGATCTCAAGAACTTCGCCGAATATTTTCAAAACACTAGGTTATACAACAGTGTCTGGACTCCCAAGGATTGGTCAGTATTCGACGTAGAAATAAGAACCAACAATCATCTGGAAGGTTGGCACCGCCATTTTAACAGTATAACTCGGAAAAATATGCCATTTTACAGTTTAATCTCAACAATGTACGACGTAAGTATAGGGATAGAGGCGGACGTTGTGGATATTTTGGAAGAGAATGTTGTGGGGCGTGTCAACGGCAGGCATGCGGAAGCCAACGAGAGAGTGCAACATGTTTGGGAACAGTTTAAGGAAGGAGAGTTATCTGTGGACTCTCTTCTTCGGAGGTGTTCAAGGATCTACGGGCCGCAGTATTGCAAAGAGTAAGTATGTAACGCAGCAAATTTCCCATAACGTTCAGTATTCAAATAAAATTCAATATTCGTAACGAAAAAGAAAACAAAACCTTCCATCCATTAAATTTCCCCATAACGTTTAGTATTTAAATATCATAATAAATTCATTAATTGTAACAAAAAGTAAACATCTTTTATCCATTCTTCGGCCCAGTTTCTTTGCCAGGCGCAGCGACAGTGCCTATCTGTTCCTGGTTTTCTTCTGCAAAAAGAATTTCCAACTCTATGACTGAAACCTTGCCGTGGTAAGTTGGCTTACAACTAATATCAGTCGGCACTAAGTAAATGCTATGCAACTATTGAGTCTGCGTTTTGCAAAGCAATGTCTTCTCCTCGAGCATCGATATCGCAGAGCGATTGCTCGACTAGTATGGTTGCTCGGTAGTCGAGTTGTCTTTACCTCGAGCATCTATATCGCAGAGCGATTGCTCGACTAGTGAGTTGTCTGACTCTCGTTGCTCGGTAGTCGAGTTGTCTTTACCTCGAGCATCGATGACGTCACGTCGCAGAGCGTTTGCTCGACTGGTGAGTTGACGGGCGACTGCCGTAGGCGAGTTTAGACTACTGCAACCACAGACTACTAAGCTCACATTCATAAATATTTAAGTGTTACTGTGAAGTATAAAGGTTTTAATATATTCAAATGTGCTCATTCAAAACATTTAATACCAATAAAGTTCATAAAATTAAACGAACACAGTCCTATAAGTCAACAGTCTAACTTCGCTAACGTTACTTCAATTTCGTCTGTAGACTGTATTTGTATTCATACAACATGATTAAAATAAGCCACTTATACAAATAAAAATGCTTTCTAGAGAATATTAATGTATTTTTCTCAACATTTGAGCACTAAAAATATCAAAAACGCATTTCTATAGACCTAAAACACCACCGTAGAAAATGCGAAAAGACGGACAACTCACCAGGTCTCCAGGTAGTCGAGTTGTCTCTGGTGAGTTGTCCGTGTAGTCGAGTTGTCCGCCTCCCGACTAGAAAATACCATCTTTAGCCAATTTCAAACAAGAAATAGTGTTCTGTGTACATGATGGTACTATAGATGCCATCTGTTTGAGCTTGCCAGACGAAAAAGATGGACTTAACGGTGACCTGGAATATTGTGTATTTTTGCACATAAATAATCTAAATAACCGTTATAAATTATTATGGAACAAGTTCAAGTTTTGGAAACATAATAGCTTATTCTCTTCTAAAGTCAAGTCAATTTTATTTTTTCCAACCACTAGATACAAAACAACGACAAAAGAAGATGCTGTAACCTGTAAGTTGTTGCATCATGGATTCATGGCACTGCTATTAGTGCTATATTCAGCTTACACTTGTCACTTGTGAGTCGTGACAAATTTTAAAAAAGCTAATTTCAAATGTAAATTTTATTGCAGATTGGTCTGCTTAAAAAATGTCAATATACCTTATTCTTTTCCACTGTTGTCCTGTGGTATTGTTAACTGAATTGTTCATATATGGGCATCCAACTTTCAAAAACTGGTTCTGTACAAAAAAAATAAAATAAACAATTCATATATGACAATTTAAAATTTAATAGCACTTTAATCTTGCAAAAAATTAAAAACTATATTTTCCCCTTTCCGTGCACGATATTCACAAAACAAATTAATAGTAATATCTTCCAGGACTTTGTATATAATAATCAACACTTTACACTATGTACACTATTAAAATTCATAAGTGAAAAAATGTACCCCCAAACAGGTCCAAGTTTCTTTTTCATTTCAGAGTCAATTGAAAATATCTAAAACAATAAAATTGTATGTTGGATCACAAATAAAAAGTGGCGAGTATCTTCAAATGATATGAATGACCTAATCGCAATGCCTAAAAATCAACCTCCATCAATCCAATACAAGATTTTCAATGCAATTCTTAGTGAATGATTACAATACAAAGATAAAGATTATAGAGCTGGTTAACTTGACTGGAATAATTTGTTTGTACTGACAAAAATTGGATTTCGTTGTTGTATACTTTTTGTGAATACCTTGTCTTTAGCAAGCAGCACATTCCGCATGTGCCCCAAATTTCTGAATGTTGGTTTGGTATGTGGTATGTTCCACTTTTCCAACAATTTCCATTTGTGTTTGATGTGCAACCTTGATAAGGATTTAGTATACCAGTCATTATACTATACTGCACTTGCTTGCGATTGATGGGGCAAGCTGCAAGCATCAGTTATATGACAGCTTACCAACAATTATTTTAAAATTACATGATTGTAAAAAATTAAAACCGCATTGTCTTGGCAAGCACGCTTATAACTTGCTCCATCCTCCCTCTCTATAATATTTACACAAAACTCACCATAACATTATGATAATGGTTCCAAAGGCAGAGAAAACTCCCAGTATTATACTCATGGTTTTGAACAGTGCCCAACACTACTGCCAAAGATAGGAAATGAAAACACGCCGGATTCAAACATTAAATATAAGATCCAAAATGCTAAACAAAGGAAATGCAGAAAATAATCAATCCCTAAGACAATAGATGTGTTATAACCGAATGCAAAAAACATACAATTTGGAACACATTGGCAATGGACAAAAGCATGGCTGATCATTGAACCATAAACCAAGAATGCAATAGTTTGAGCAAAAATGATCAATATTTTCCTGATTGAGAAATACAGCAATTTAGTACATGAATACAGATACAAATGTAGGTAAACACCAATAAACCTAATGATTTCAATAGTTATTGATGAATTGATAACCATTCTCTATACAACCACAAAAGCAATCATTACTGCCTTTAAAGATTGACTAGGGATAATAACATGGTCTCGACAATAAATCTCTCTCCATTTTTTTTCTCTTAGTAATTATCAAGACCTCTAAATTCATGGTAAGTTCTAACTCAAATGAAGGGGAACCCAAATTTAGAAAATTCAGCTTTTGAATTTCATGAACAAGGTGAATTGTAGGGATTAATTGGAGGATAGCAAAGGAGGATCCTGAACAGAAAACCAAATAAAAATTTCCAAATATTGGTTCAATTTATGGTAGATATCCATGCAGACAAGACAAATAACATTCAAGTATGCCGCTATATATGGAACAACTTATTAAATACAATCTATTACTGTATCAATATTTCTTCCAGAGCCACGCTATTTCCAGCGATCATCCACATCCTGCCGGGAGTTTTCGGAAATATATTCCACAATTTTTCTAGGGGTAGATAAACCGTCAGCCACCGCATCTGGGATTTCCAGGGCAAATTCATTTTCGATTGCCACAATGACCTCAACATGGTCAAGACTGTCCAATCCCAAGTCTTTCATGAAATTACTATCGATTGCGAGCTGCTCCGGTTTAATTTTGTCATAGAGCTGGAGACATGACATAACACGACCTTCTATTGTCTCTTCTATAGATTGTTCTGAACTCATAGAACGATGAATATTCAACAATGAAAAATGATTCTTTGTCGATAGCATGGTGTTAGAACATCCGAGACTTAGCACTTGTTGCTGTTTCAATATTACTCCTGTGCAGAATGGCTTGACCATACAGATTTTCCTTATAGTAATTTGAGAACATGGATTTCTTGCCAATATACAAGGAACTTGCCTCAGAAATAAAGCCATTTTTGTTTACACAGTTAGTCTACTTTACCCACTACCAGACTATGTGTATGCTCAAATCCTTTACCTTGAGCATTCAACAAAATATCTGTAATGAATATGACAGTATGATAAACAACAAACAAATTTCCCCCATTTAAAGTTTAGTATTCAAATAAAATTCATTATTCGTAACAAAAAAATAAACAAAATCTTTTATCCATTGAATTTTCCCATAAAGTTTAGTATTCAGATATCAAATAAAATTTGGTGTTTTTTGACATTTATTCTGGCTTAAATATTGGCGATTTCATGTTGACTTCTGTGTCTGTGTGTAGCACAATGACTGGTTTATTCATTACAATTGCTAAATCTAGAAATTATTCAAATTAAAAATGTCTTGCTGCATTCATATGAACATTCATTATTGCGATTGAATGAAACTATTTTTGTTTGACTATGAAATATATATATTAATTACATTTTAGAACCGGAGCTTTCGCGGGAGCAAATTGGGTGTAAGAGTTCGGTTTCGAGAGGCACCTAAGAAGAAGTAGATATTCCCTAAAAGACGTGGTGCTGAAATCAAACTATATTATGGACTATTTATTATCTAGGATACGGGCGCGGCATTGCAAACAGCAAGAATCCATATTTGCATGTTGACTACGACCTCGGCCACCTCGCTGAGAAAATATCTTGCAAATTACTTATTTAAGCTTTGCGTGAACTTAGTGTGGCAAAAATCTATGGAAGGTAAAGGTAAGTAATTATATATATTCTTATCTGTACAGAATTGATCAGTAACATAGTAGGTATATAGCACAGCGCCATGACATGCTTTATCAGGTCTCTTGTTCCAGCGTCCCTAAAACAAAACATGTTAAAACAAAAAAAAAACTGTGATGGAAACGACCTCGGCTAATGAGTATTTACGTTTGTAAGGTGTCAGGCCGGCGATAATGAGGCTGTAAACTCGGCGATAACCGAGCAGTAATCTCGGCGCGCGGCATCATCATCACCGATCTGGCACCTTATCTAATCTCATATCACCATTCTGGCACTGATATCCATGCACATTCCGGCGCAGGAAAATTGACTACGTCCACATCTTCAATGTAATTAACAACCTACTCACCCTTTCGTTTTCCGGTGCACGTGCGAAGAGATTCGTACTGAACTTCGAAGCCGCAACATGGCAAGCACTTTCTTCAGTATGGCCGGACGTCGAAAAGCAGGGATGCTCTTTCCACTTCACTCAGGCCATCATGAAGAATGTGCGCCACAATAATTTGGCTCGCCAATACAACAAGTGAGTGGTTAACCATATTTATATATGTCTTTGTACTTCTTACACTTCTTTTGTTTTAACATGTTTTATTTTGTTTTAGGGACGCTGGAACAAGAGACCTGATAAAGCATGTCATGGCGCTGTGCTATATACCTACTATGTTTATCACGCCCAGGTTCAAATCACTGAAAGAAAAGATGCATACTCAAGATCTCAAGAACTTCGCCGAATATTTTCAAAACACTAGGTTATACAACAGTGTCTGGACTCCCAAGGATTGGTCAGTATTCGACGTAGAAATAAGAACCAACAATCATCTGGAAGGTTGGCACCGCCATTTTAACAGTATAACTCGGAAAAATATGCCATTTTACAGTTTAATCTCAACAATGTACGACGTAAGTATAGGGATAGAGGCGGACGTTGTGGATATTTTGGAAGAGAATGTTGTGGGGCGTGTCAACGGCAGGCATGCGGAAGCCAACGAGAGAGTGCAACATGTTTGGGAACAGTTTAAGGAAGGAGAGTTATCTGTGGACTCTCTTCTTCGGAGGTGTTCAAGGATCTACGGGCCGCAGTATTGCAAAGAGTAAGTATGTAACGCAGCAAATTTCCCATAACGTTCAGTATTCAAATAAAATTCAATATTCGTAACGAAAAAGAAAACAAAACCTTCCATCCATTAAATTTCCCCATAACGTTTAGTATTTAAATATCATAATAAATTCATTAATTGTAACAAAAAGTAAACATCTTTTATCCATTCTTCGGCCCAGTTTCTTTGCCAGGCGCAGCGACAGTGCCTATCTGTTCCTGGTTTTCTTCTGCAAAAAGAATTTCCAACTCTATGACTGAAACCTTGCCGTGGTAAGTTGGCTTACAACTAATATCAGTCGGCACTAAGTAAATGCTATGCAACTATTGAGTCTGCGTTTTGCAAAGCAATGTCTTCTCCTCGAGCATCGATATCGCAGAGCGATTGCTCGACTAGTATGGTTGCTCGGTAGTCGAGTTGTCTTTACCTCGAGCATCTATATCGCAGAGCGATTGCTCGACTAGTGAGTTGTCTGACTCTCGTTGCTCGGTAGTCGAGTTGTCTTTACCTCGAGCATCGATGACGTCACGTCGCAGAGCGTTTGCTCGACTGGTGAGTTGACGGGCGACTGCCGTAGGCGAGTTTAGACTACTGCAACCACAGACTACTAAGCTCACATTCATAAATATTTAAGTGTTACTGTGAAGTATAAAGGTTTTAATATATTCAAATGTGCTCATTCAAAACATTTAATACCAATAAAGTTCATAAAATTAAACGAACACAGTCCTATAAGTCAACAGTCTAACTTCGCTAACGTTACTTCAATTTCGTCTGTAGACTGTATTTGTATTCATACAACATGATTAAAATAAGCCACTTATACAAATAAAAATGCTTTCTAGAGAATATTAATGTATTTTTCTCAACATTTGAGCACTAAAAATATCAAAAACGCATTTCTATAGACCTAAAACACCACCGTAGAAAATGCGAAAAGACGGACAACTCACCAGGTCTCCAGGTAGTCGAGTTGTCTCTGGTGAGTTGTCCGTGTAGTCGAGTTGTCCGCCTCCCGACTAGAAAATACCATCTTTAGCCAATTTCAAACAAGAAATAGTGTTCTGTGTACATGATGGTACTATAGATGCCATCTGTTTGAGCTTGCCAGACGAAAAAGATGGACTTAACGGTGACCTGGAATATTGTGTATTTTTGCACATAAATAATCTAAATAACCGTTATAAATTATTATGGAACAAGTTCAAGTTTTGGAAACATAATAGCTTATTCTCTTCTAAAGTCAAGTCAATTTTATTTTTTCCAACCACTAGATACAAAACAACGACAAAAGAAGATGCTGTAACCTGTAAGTTGTTGCATCATGGATTCATGGCACTGCTATTAGTGCTATATTCAGCTTACACTTGTCACTTGTGAGTCGTGACAAATTTTAAAAAAGCTAATTTCAAATGTAAATTTTATTGCAGATTGGTCTGCTTAAAAAATGTCAATATACCTTATTCTTTTCCACTGTTGTCCTGTGGTATTGTTAACTGAATTGTTCATATATGGGCATCCAACTTTCAAAAACTGGTTCTGTACAAAAAAATAAAATAAACAATTCATATATGACAATTTAAAATTTAATAGCACTTTAATCTTGCAAAAAATTAAAAACTATATTTTCCCCTTTCCGTGCACGATATTCACAAAACAAATTAATAGTAATATCTTCCAGGACTTTGTATATAATAATCAACACTTTACACTATGTACACTATTAAAATTCATAAGTGAAAAAATGTACCCCCAAACAGGTCCAAGTTTCTTTTTCATTTCAGAGTCAATTGAAAATATCTAAAACAATAAAATTGTATGTTGGATCACAAATAAAAAGTGGCGAGTATCTTCAAATGATATGAATGACCTAATCGCAATGCCTAAAAATCAACCTCCATCAATCCAATACAAGATTTTCAATGCAATTCTTAGTGAATGATTACAATACAAAGATAAAGATTATAGAGCTGGTTAACTTGACTGGAATAATTTGTTTGTACTGACAAAAATTGGATTTCGTTGTTGTATACTTTTTGTGAATACCTTGTCTTTAGCAAGCAGAACATTCCGCATGTGCCCCAAATTTCTGAATGTTGGTTTGGTATGTGGTATGTTCCACTTTTCCAACAATTTCCATTTGTGTTTGATGTGCAACCTTGATAAGGATTTAGTATACCAGTCATTATACTATACTGCACTTGCTTGCGATTGATGGGGCAAGCTGCAAGCATCAGTTATATGACAGCTTACCAACAATTATTTTAAAATTACATGATTGTAAACAATTAAAACCGCATTGTCTTGGCAAGCACGCTTATAACTTGCTCCATCCTCCCTCTCTATAATATTTACACAAAACTCACCATAACATTATGATAATGGTTCCAAAGGCAGAGAAAACTCCCAGTATTATACTCATGGTTTTGAACAGTGCCCAACACTACTGCCAAAGATAGGAAATGAAAACACGCCGGATTCAAACATTAAATATAAGATCCAAAATGCTAAACAAAGGAAATGCAGAAAATAATCAATCCCTAAGACAATAGATGTGTTATAACCGAATGCAAAAAACATACAATTTGGAACACATTGGCAATGGACAAAAGCATGGCTGATCATTGAACCATAAACCAAGAATGCAATAGTTTGAGCAAAAATGATCAATATTTTCCTGATTGAGAAATACAGCAATTTAGTACATGAATACAGATACAAATGTAGGTAAACACCAATAAACCTAATGATTTCAATAGTTATTGATGAATTGATAACCATTCTCTATACAACCACAAAAGCAATCATTACTGCCTTTAAAGATTGACTAGGGATAATAACATGGTCTCGACAATAAATCTCTCTCCATTTTTTTTCTCTTAGTAATTATCAAGACCTCTAAATTCATGGTAAGTTCTAACTCAAATGAAGGGGAACCCAAATTTAGAAAATTCAGCTTTTGAATTTCATGAACAAGGTGAATTGTAGGGATTAATTGGAGGATAGCAAAGGAGGATCCTGAACAGAAAACCAAATAAAAATTTCCAAATATTGGTTCAATTTATGGTAGATATCCATGCAGACAAGACAAATAACATTCAAGTATGCCGCTATATATGGAACAACTTATTAAATACAATCTATTACTGTATCAATATTTCTTCCAGAGCCACGCTATTTCCAGCGATCATCCACATCCTGCCGGGAGTTTTCGGAAATATATTCCACAATTTTTCTAGGGGTAGATAAACC